AAAAGCTAACCTTGGCCAAAATGAGTAAAAACAAACATCAGTGGAAAGCTTATTTGAAAAAGGAAAAAGACCCATTGATGAGCCAGAAGATTGCCTGAATGGCATAGTGACACCCTGTCTAAAAAAGAACCAAAAAAAAAAAAAAAAAAAAACGAGCTTGGGATATAGCTCAGCGTGAAGCCGTCGAGGTCAGTAATTTCAATCCCCAGTTCTGGAAAAAAAAAAGTGCCGGCCCTGGAGTGGCCAGAAGGATGTCCAGACAGTGCGGAGCCTGGCCCTTTGGGTGCTTGGCCGTGGTGCCTGGCAGGACTTAGGCACTGAGTGCTCTAAGTTAGCACCTACTGCGCAGTTCACAGGGCAGGCCGGGGTCGCTCGGGCAATGCTGTGTCCCTAGCTTTACAACACGAGGCTGGGCCCGGAGGAGGCACTGGGGAATGTTTGCTGATGGAATAAATGAAATAAATAAATAAATAAATAAAAGGGGCTGGGGACATAGCTCAGTGGCACGGCGCCTGCCTGGCAAGCGTGAGGTCTTTGAGTTCGATTCCTGGTACCAGAAGAAAAACAAAAACAAACAAAGACCAAAACAATTTCAAGCAAGGACATTTCTCTCTAACCTAAGCCCTGTACGAATGGGACAGCGCCAGCGCCTTTCACCTGCTCAGGACTGTGGCCTCTGCACTTAGCCCCATGCCTGGCTTCTCTCTCCTGCCCTTCCCACTCACAGGCTCTGGGGACAGACAGATACCACCAAGACAGGGAAAAAAAAAACACATAGCACTTTATTATCAGTACACTCATGATGGGCAGGTCTTCACAGGGCGGGAGGAGGTCCTGACAGCAGGGAAGAGGCCGCTACTTGCCAGCGATGAGCGGGTTCCGCAGTACCACGATGACCGAGTCCCCGCGCAGGAACATCTTGGAGATGTAGCGGTCCTTGTTGACTGGCTTGGACTTCTTCTTGCCCTTGCCGCTCTTGGGGACCTCAGTCCACATCTCCTTCACGTTTTCCAGCACCATGTTGCAATGCCTGGTGAGGCAGGGATGGGGAGGTAGAGGAGTGAGGTTGGGGTCTTCTGACCCCCTCCAGCACCACTGCACTGAGAAGGGCCCAGGCCCTGGGGCCAGGACGGCCAGACTGCCAAAGCCACATCTGGACATTCTTTTCACTTTCTGTTTTTGTTTTTTTTCCCCAACAGTGTTTTACTCTGTATTCAGGCTGGTTTTGAACTATGTAACCCAGCCTGGCTTCATATTTGTGGCTATCCTCCTGCCTCAGCCTCCCCATTGTTGTGATTATAGGCACGCACTACCACACTTAGTGTTCTTTTACTTTTTTGAGACAGGGTCTCGCTATGCAGTTCAGGCAGGCCTTGAACTCACTTTGTAGTCCAGACTGGCCTTGAACTTGCAGTGATCCTCCTGCCTCAGCCTCCAGAGTGCTGGTATTACAGGCGTGCGCCACCACGCCTGGTCTTTTACTTTTTTGAGATGGAGTCTCACTATGTAGTTCTTGAACTTACTATGCAGCCTGGGCTGGCCTTACACCTGCAGTGACCCTCTTTCCTCAGACTCCCAAATGCTGGGATGACAGGTGTGTACCACCGTGTCCGGTACCTGCGCATTCTCAGGCTGCGGTTTGGACCAAGGACTCTGACCCTCTGTGCTGTTTCCTTCCCTCTAGACAATTAGCATCTTCTTGCAGGGCTGCCGTGACGGTGGAAGGAATGAATACGGCATCTCTGTTAGCGACTTAGAAGGGAGCCTGGCACAAAGCAAAAATGGTTCCCACTGTGCCGTTAACTCTCAGTACTCAGAGGCAACAGCAGAGAAGCACCAAGCACTATCCAATTTGGGACCCAGAGGCTCCTGGGGTGCTGGGGGTGGGGCAGCACCTGACACCAGCACTGCCCCTGCCCTCGTAGCCCAGGGTGAGCATGTGGGATGCCAGCATGGTCAGCTTGTTTAGATGCTAGCTGCATGCAGACAACGAACAATGCTTGAAACACAGGCGCCAGGGCATCAACTAAGACGACACCCCTGACCTCATGGCTTGTGCATTCTAGCCAGGGTAGAAGAATAAGAAAGTAGGGGGCTGGGGATTTAGCTCAGCGGCA